ATGAGTTAGCCCTCGCGCCCATACCGCAGTTAACTCAAATGAAACATACTTGGCAGTGAAATCCATCTTAATAGCAAAGTTCTCAAACTTTCCCTCGCCGAAAGGTGTAGAGAAGATCTTCTGAGGCTTGGCAGTGGCCTTGGAGTTGCCGAAGATGGCGATATCATTACCGTTCTCAGCTCCGGTGCGGACATCAAACTGGTGGAAGCTAAAGTCCTTGGACTCCAAGTTCATTACTTGATAGTCGTGAGTCACGTTGAGAGGCTTGGTCGCATCGCGCTGGATAGAGAAATGCATAGTGCGGACACCGGTAACAGCCACATCGTTCAACTGCGAACGGATACTGGGCAGGAGATCGGCGCGGCGGATGTTGGACTGTGCCTCGCCGCCCTTCGGGATGAAGACGGACTTGTCGTCGATGTTAATGGCAAAGGCCTTGGTGTTGGTTGACTTGTCAAACTAGAAAGTGTGAGCAGGATTCCCGGGCGACTCCAGATCCGAGGACTTACCAAAGACGGTTCTACTTGAGGGAAAGTGATGACGTCGCTGAAAACGAGGCCTATTGCACGTATGAGCTCCCAGCTCTGAACTTGCGTTTGCTTCTCACTTACCATCTCCTTTGACGACGGCACTCTTGAAAACGCTCTCCAATACGTTGAAGTTCTCAGGCGTGGCATCTTGCTTGATACGACCATCAGGCAAGACGAGCGCTGTAGTGTTGCCCGCCTTCGCGGCGCCGCCAGTAGCACCGCCAGCGTTGACCGTGCTGTTGTTGGCACCGCCGGCCTGGTTGCCGCCTTTGTTGCCACCTTTGGCCCCAGACTGCTTGCTAGTGTTTCCATTTCCACCGTTACCTCTGACCGACAAGCCAGAGCCAAATTCGGCGGGAACTGGTCCAGCAGCAACAGATGAGGCCAACAGGCCAACGATGGTAATGAAAGTGGGCTTCATTTTGTTTCTTTATGGGTCTCGGGAAACTCTAGAGAATGTAGATTGATTAAAGACTCTTGGCCTTGAAACGAACGGATGCAGAAAGAGCAAGTGGCCGGCACTGCGCAATAGAAAGGAATGTGCAAGGAAGAAGCGAAAAAGAGAGTTGAGACCGTGTTGTCAGAGTGAAAGTGATGAACTGTTCAATGTATGATTATCATCGCGCCCTTACAGCCAAGATATATGTCAAGCCGACGGAAGCCCTCCGATGGTGTTGTGCCTTATCCCATGCCATCCGAAGATAGAGTTCAAAACTTCAGACTGCATCTGTCCGTACACTTGCGACGATTTCTGCTCCCATTTCTGACTCGTTGTCGTGTTTGGCATGATCGCAGTCTGATGTTTTAGGGACTAAAGTCTAAAGGCGGGCGGTGCAGTGCAACAAAGCTGACACCCCCAAGAGAAAAAAGATGGTGTGGTGTCTTGAGGGGGTTCGCAGGAGACGGAGAGTAAAAAGTTAAAAAAGGCCGTTGCGACCCAGGAGTTCGGACTTTAGGGGCTGTTTGGCACGGCGATGAACAAGGGTCTAGCTTGTCAGGGGTTAAATGACGACGTACTCGAGTCGCTCGAGGGAGTTTTGGCCAAGAAGTTCGAGTTTCGTTGCTCATAGCCTCCGTCTTAAAATTGTATGGGGACATGGTTCCACTGGTTCGGGCTCGTGATTTTCGGACGATTAGTCTATTTTATGGTTTGCCCTACGCATATTGTTCACATCGCTCCGTCAGATTCATCATCTAGTGCCTTCCCCTGTCTCCGGACGTCCCGAGTCTCCCGCCGGCTAGAGGGCCGCATGGTGCCTCTGGGTGTACGGCGTTGTTACAGGTCATGCGGATTGTTTGGTATTATCTGTCCGATGCAATGCCTTGACGAATTTCAAAAGTTAGGGAAGGGTTGCAAGACCCGTCCATATTATGATGTTGCGAACCGGCGATGATGATGGTATCATCTGATGTCCAGACTATGTGACTGAGTTCCCTTTCATTCCAAGATTCTCCATCCGATTTCAAGGCAGGCCAGATACCATAAAAGAAATCATAAGCGACCAAGAGATCTGCAGCCGCGGATCTTGATGCAAGGAGGATTGTCAGTACATGTACTCTAGGTATGTACGGGGATATGGTATGCCCCTTTCGGTATGACATCCAGGACCGGCATTTGGCCCCGCGAAGTCGGAGCAATCAGTGTTGGTACGTAGGCCAAATATCCGTTACATGTAAGCTATAACCACATCATAACACTCTCGTGACTTCAATCTCTCCCCCCCAGCTTGTGAAAGGTTTTCTCCGCGGTATCACTTCTCCAATCAAGGTTTTGATCTTTGCCCTTTGACGACCGATTCTCGCATGATGAAGTAGGTTGTTTCCCTCATTGCACTACCACGACGAGCTTCGTGATTAAGATAATCCAGCCCTCAAGACCGCTCCGATGACGGCATCTCCAGATTCTTGCTTTGGATGAAAACAATGTACATGTGTCCGGGTCTGACTCGACCCCGAAAGGTGGCTTCGCAAGGTGATTTTGAGGAGAACCTTAGTGAGGAATGTCTCCTGTGTACTCTACGTGCTAGAAACACGTAGCTGTGTGCTTTGAAATCAAAAAAACATTACTCCATGTACCCTCGTGAGCCCCGGGCGAGTTTGAAGAGCATGTGGGCCCCCATTTGGGTTCGTTTCGAATCTTTGCCAAGGTACACTCAGGAGTCCTCAATCTTTCCACTCGCAGTCTAGTGGCATAGCAGTTGTACTAAGATATGAAAGTGTACTTGTGAAACGCTGCGAGTCGACCGTCCAGCCACTGATGAGGTCCTATTTAGAAGGATACGAACGGATCTCCACAGGGGAAGGAGACCTGATCTCTCGACGCCTCTGACAGATTGTGGCAATCCCAAAACACCAATCAGGGGTGGCGAATGTTTGCTAAGAGGCTCTTTTCTAGCTAGTTTGGCGTTTTAATTAGACTTTTACTAAGTATCTAGACGGATAGTAATGATATACGACGGCGGCGACAAAAGAGGCGACGAAGAGAGGTGACAACCAGACATAACATTGAATGTTTTTTTTACTTTGTCTTCTGGGAAACGACAACATTTCTGGACCGTAATATGGGTAGCTCCATGGCTAGTTGGAAGTGTCCACCCAGATACCAAGACTCTCTGCCAACACTATTGGCAACTGGCCCTCGTGCAGTCTTGCGGAGATTTACACTATCATCACCTTTTGAGAAACAATATTTATTTTCTTTGGAGAGTCTAGCCGCCCGGGTGGGTTGTCTGGTCTGTTAATGGGCAACTTTACGGGAAAAGTTTCAGAAACAGACGGTGACTGGAGTTTATGACCTCCCTGATCCGCCATTCAAGACCCGTTGGTCCTTTCCACGGTATCAACTCAACGGCCTCGACACGCGATCCATCTCGCCACTCATTGTGGCATTCGCGGCCTTCTTGACCAACATTGCGGCATTTGAGCTCAAAGATGACAAGAAACTCGATTTGCCCGAATTTTCTTTCTTCCATTCTGACTTTTCTTCGTCGCAGTTTGCCGCCTGGAGGCGCACCTTGTTGACTGCCGTATGACTCTCGCGGGGAAACATTCGGAGTTGCCCGAATTTTGCAAAGGAACCAGCTACGCAACGGACCTCGTAACAGTCTCACTTCGGAATTACAAGAGCCTGCCTGCACAAAGCTAACACAGGCCCAAAATGGCGTCTTTTGTAAGTCGAACCAATAAGTTAGGCGAATGTTTTGAACAGTGTCGTTGTGCAAGCCTGGTTGGAATGACTATCCATGCCTGTTGCGCACAAATTGGTTGGGAGAACAGCTGGAAACATCAAACGCCGAACCTGAGAGGGCGTAAGCAGGGGGGACATGGGCTGTTAACTTGGGTAAGACGCTGGAGGTGAGTCTTAGCAGCTGACACTCTCGCTACTCCCCGAAAGCTCTTGCTCTCTCATGATCTCATCAGTTTTTGGTGCCTATCCATTTTCGAACACCGACTGCTCAAAGTGCAGTACGAACAACCTGAGGACCCGGGCGTGGGTGTAAGCTGTGAGAATTGTAAGCGATGGCTTCGTAGTTGATGGGGATCAGAGAGGCAGGTACTCGACTTACCCACGGGATCCACAACACGACACTGCCTTTTGCCAAAGCGAATTCGTATCGAGCACCAGTCAAGATGAGCTAGGGTTAAGACGGGGTCCTGCACATTGAAGATCTGTGGCTTTGGGACAAGCTGAATGCGACAAGGCCGAAAGGAAACTCGAAGAATAAGATTCCTTAGTATAGTGGTGGTTTTGGAGCCATGCTCCTGAGTGAGAAATTTGGTCAAGGTTTACTCTAAGCAGAATGTCGGGAAAAGAAAACTGATGAGATTTGGACTTATTATGACCACTTTTGAAGATGAATCATACAGGCTTACAAGGGCTATCATTCACATCGTTTGATTACCCGAGAGCGGAACCTCGAATGCATCATCTCGATGCTCAAAACTTCAATTTGCTAACTAGCCTGTGTCATCATGATCACTCAATATTACAACATCATTGATCTCGGCCAGCTTACATGATTTAATGTATTATTACGTACACTACTTCACACCCTGATGAAGCAGTTCGTTTGTTGAGTGTATGAGCAATTTCACTATACTGCCCAGCATGCAGCAGCTGCTAAAGACCACGGAAGATTCAACGTTACAACCTGTATATTATGAATGGATCTCCCAAAAATGCCCTGGAATGTAAAAGTATTACGAATTACGTAGGGAGGGGCCAACATCTCCACGCCCCTTCATGTTTTCTACCGGTTTGGCCAGACCTCGGCAAAAGACGGACGAACCTCAAAACTGCTACTATGATACCGGTGACGGCAACCACCATGGCGATGATTTGACCGGTCTTGAATTCATTGCTCTGCGTACCAAGACTGCCTTTCTTCAATGCTGCCTCCGCTGCAGCCATGGATGCCACTGCAAAGACTCCGCTCACGAGAAACGCAAGCGATAAAGTCGTCGGGTAATCTACAAACTTCCATTTATGCCCGTGGATTCTTAAAAGTTTGTGAAAGAACCTCATAAGACGTGAATCACTATTAGATAGTGGATGGAAAGTTTTGCTTGCCACCGGGTCGTCGTTGTTTTCCGCGTCATGGAACGCATAAGTGTCCACAAGAGCTTGGTAAGCACTTTGAGCGACGCTCAAAACTCTACAGGCGTAGTATATCCAGAAAGCCGCCTGCTCCCAGCTTGAAGTGCTGTCTTCTTTTGTTCCAAGTCGGCCCCACCATGTAACTGATACCGACTCTGACTTGCAACAGACTTTGAACTGGTTCTGGTGGAATCTGTGAACCAAAAACCCAATAATTGCCAAAACAAATGCTTGACAGGGCACAATAGTCCAGACCTGCCACCGAGCTGCTAAGGTTGTCTTTGTTACCAACGGAATGGAAAGTGCGCTATTCTGGGAGTCAAGTATCATGGAGCCAAGGATGGCGTCCGTCGCCTCGAGCCCCTTTTGGTTGACAAGAAGCGCGATGGCCAGTGGGAGATGCGTAATGGTGAGGCTAGCGGCAACCTCCTTGGTTCCCGTCGTTTTGATGTGGAAGGTTCCAATCAGTGCCAGGAAGAGTAAGACTCCAAGTTGTGCCCAGGCAGCAAGACGAATGCCAAGTCCGCCGATGTCATCGTCAATGCACGTCTTGTTAGCCTTGGCCATGCATTCCTCAGGCTCGCATTTCTCAGGATGTTCGCCGTTGAACATGACAGCTATGAGGATAATTCCCAAGACGGCAACGACTATCGGAAATCCCAGAGACTGGAGGAAAGCAGGCCCAAGGAGAAATCTCTGATTCCGGTGATATTGAATACTCAGGAGATACTGAGATACACCCAGGAGCGCTTGGAACGACAAAAGAATGACGGCAACGGCCAGTCTTGATTGAGGCTGAGTTCCCATGGCGTCTTGCGTCGTACTGAGATGAGACTTGCTGATGATGAAAATAACAGGCCTTCCAGGTAGGGCTGGGGGAAACTTGAAAAAGGAATATTCAGCTGATAAGAATTGATGCAGCGAGGCATCCGTTTTAGAGCCCCCGAGCAATTGTGTGCAGGAAGGTGAGGCTGAGAGTCAGACAAGGAGAGCCGGGAGGTTAATGAGGCTCGTGGCGGTTGAAGATGGTGTCTCAGCAGACATCCTGCCCTACGTAAAGTGCTAGTTTTGTTGACACTCTCACCAGCTGAAGTCAGAAGTGACGTCTGGCAATGTGGCACTTCACCGAAATTTCATACGTGCGTGGTGTCTCACTGAGCCGTGTAGGATTGGGTTGAGCTCTTCAGATGCTTGCTGACCACCAACCCAGTAGCTTGACCTATTCTGGTTCAAGTAGGTGTCAAGACGCACTGCTGCCTGCCCCTCACCGGAGTGGAAGATCTCAAAGGGTGTGCTGTGGTGCAGGTCGAGGTTGCCTGCCTGGCGGGATACAAGCTGGAACTTGATGAGATCATTCAAGACCATCAAGGACTGACACCCAGGCGATAGCCCGTTCTTCAGCTTGATATCTACGCTAAGAGTCGACACGGATTGAAATCACTTACTCGAGACCCTTCGTAGCAATGCAAATTGAACCTGTCCATGAACCCTCAAGAAGACTGTCGAATTGCCTTCTACAAATATAAACTTGCCTGATGCATAGTTATTGGTCTTTCACCAATCATATTGTGAAACGTCTTCGTACTATATTTAAGCAACTCCCTTCATTTATGTCGTCTTTTGGGAGACCACGAAAAGAGTGACTTGAACAATGCGAATGAAATTCATGACCGCCGAGTATAGCCGACGAGAATGACCCTTGATCGGTTTGCGCGGCTTCGAGTAAATCATCTGAAGCCAGATATCGCATGTCGGCGTAAGTCAGTGACCCGTGCCGTCGAGAAGCACTTGCCGGGCAGCAATCCTCACTCGACCTGGACAGCCGATAATCTCAGACGGCAAAGCGAAACGCCAAGAGGCGGGCAAACGGAGAGTCCTTCGGCGCTGGGTGCTGGAGTCTGGGACGGCATGGTGGCTTGCCCAGACCCAAGCCAACCCCGCAAAACCCCGCAAGTTTCCAAACCACCCAAGGTCGAGATGGGATCGAGAGGAGGGACCGGGCGATACAGACGCAAAGTCTGTAATGGAGGAGACCCGGTTGGCCGGCTACTGCTCGGCCTTGAAGGAAGGTGTTTAATCGGGACCTGACAACCTGAGGGTTCTGTCGAAAGCCTTGGGTGGAAGCAAATCATACGATGGTAGTTCGCGGGCAATCATTTAATGCCATCGGGACAAACCGCAACGTTGGAACGATCTGGTGGTACCTGAGTGTGGAGAAGGAACGCCCGAGGAACGCATGCGAGCTTGCGAAGGAAGCGGGAGGAGCTGCGGGCTAGGGAGGTTAAGGCTCTTCCATAAGGGGTGACTTCGGACGAGGAGACCAATAAAGGCCGAGATAGTAGGGCAAGGCATCCTTTCAAACACAATGTGGACTAAATGAAGGACTGTATCAGAGGGATACAAGTCGCTCTGATGTCGGTCTAGTTCAAGGTAGGCAGCGTCACGTTGGAATGCGAAGCGGAGCCGCGATGCATAGGTTGTGTTCACAAATGCCGCAAAACGCCGCGGCAGAAGGATGATAATGGGTGTGCCGCCGAGCCTTGATCAGTGATGAACTCGAATCTCGGGTAGCGCCAGAGGCTGGGCGGATGGCTTGTGGACGGAGCAAACAGGGCGAGCTATCAGTTGAGTTGACAATGCGAACCAACGGGACCTAGAAGGCACCCGACCAACCAGCCGTGTTAAACGAGGTTGACTATCGTAGGTGGCTGCATGTCTAGGCCAGCTGCAATCCTACGGTTTGTTGCACAGCTGTGCCGCCGCATCTTCCTGGCGTTTCGGTTCCAGATCTGCGCTGCGCCGCTGGGCCTTACTCGGGCTGGCCAATAGAATACGAGATGATTCAAGAGGACTGAGAATTATCAGATCATGGTTGATGGCAGGGACAAGGCATGTTCGTGGTGGATGAAGGTGGTGTGGGATGGCGCGGATGCGGGAGACGAAAGAAAGTCGAAGTCAAGAAGGCAGACAGACGCCTAGACACTTGACTGACTTTTAGACAAGACGAAGGTTGGACCGATATGAGTGACTGACACAAGCCGCAGGAAGGCAAATTCCAGAAATCTGGGGAAGACGCACGAGGAGACGTTTCTTGTTGCGGTTGCAGTTGCAGTGCAGCCCACAGGTGGTTGTGTCTTGGTGTGCATCGTTATCATGTCACTGGCTTCCATTCTGTCACTGGGTGCTGGGCATCATTGGGGTGCATTTGCATCGATCGATGGACCTCGGATAAGGATAAGACGGATAAGATAAGCAGCTGAGGGAGGAGCGTGGGTGCTGGGTGCTGGGTGCTGGGTGCTTGTGAATGTCACGCCAGGCCAGGACGAAGGAAAGCCCGACCGAGGGGCGCCCTTTCCCCGACTTCTCCTTCCCAGAAGCCGAATCTCCACAGTCGCAGTCGGGTCGGGGCTACTTTAGCGAGGTACGTACCCACAAAACCAGGCAACGTGACCTGGATGTCCACCGCCCCCCTCCCCCAATCCCCGCCCCGACCTATCGCGACCTGGTCATTACTCACTGCGGAGCCCCCAGACGGTGCACTGGCCAGTCTCGTCCGCTTCCGGGATTGGCCGAGTGGAGGGGGAAATGGAAGGGGGAGGCACTGGATGCGCCCTGAGTGCCAACAACTGCGTGCCAACAACTGCGCTGCATGAAAGCCGTGGAGAAAGAGTGCGCTGGGCATGCAGTCTACAGCCAGACTCCCGTGTCTCCTGCGCGACGGACCACTGAGAGACTCCTGTCGCTGACCGCTGGAACTTGGAAGCCCTCCCACCCCCTGCCAGCCCTTCCATCGCCATTCCTCATCCAGCCGGGCCCCCCCTCCATCATCCAGTTTGGCGGGCCACAAGTGAGTCGACGTCAGGATTTATTCACCCAACTTGCATCCGATAACCACACACACCTCCCCGGATCTTCACGCCGGAACGTCACGACCTCACCAAACACCACGCCGCACAACTGCTGCGCTCTCCCACGCACACGCTCCCCCCCAAAAAGCCCTACGCTCTATCTGCGGCCTACCAACTCTCTGCCGCCGATCACTCACTTCCACACTCCTCCGCGATCGAAATCCCGCCCACGGGATCGAGTACCGACCGACTCGCTCTCTCTCCCACTTCTACCTCCGCCATACATCACCGACGACAGCGAGCCATCCCCGGACTGACATTCTTCGGAGAACACGACCCCTTCGACAGGCGACTGAACACGCAAATAACGGCTTCCCCGCGGCTGCTCATTTCTTTTCCCGTGCGAAACCGTCTTGGAGCGCAAGCTTGGACTTCCTACTCCAGGACCAACCCGGCACGGGCACGGATGACAGCATAACCCCCAGCAACCCGGACGACCACCACACGCTCCAGAGCCAAAAAACACAAGAAGGGAAAGAAAGAATAGGGGTCCCCCGATCGAGTTTTTGATTTTATCGTTTGGAACCGGAAACCTCCCCGTCTAGGCACTCGCGTCAAAATACAATAACGTCCTTGTGCCCTCCCCTCAATCCCCCTTCGACCGATTTTTCTTGCGGCGCTCCAACGCACGCACGGGGAGCCAGGCTCAGCAATCACGCATCTCACCTCCTCCATCATCGACATTTGGCTGGGCGAACAGTCAACGATAGCCACGATGCCCTCCCAACGCCCCTTCTTCCTCTCTACCTTCTTCTCCTCCTTCCGCCAATCCACCGCTCTGTCCGCGCAGCAACCGAACAAGCACTCCACTCAGACGTCATCCTCAGCATCCTACGCAACACAGTCCGCCGCCTCGGCACCGCGTGCGATATCCTCAAATGCCGCATCATCAAGTAGCGCCAACGCCAACGCAGCCGCCAACTCCGCGACGCGTTCAACGTCAGGCGTCGTGAACCAGTACCCGCTACACTCGCCCCGCGGCGGCATCCCGATTCCCGGAAGCCACCCGAACCGACGACGAGGAAGTGACAGCAGCAGCGAGGGGTTCCGTGACGTTTTGGGTGCCGACAAGTGGTACATCGGTGGGCGGACAGCGGGCGGCGAGGAAAAGTTCTTCAAGCTCGGCGTCATACGGAGGGTGCGCAGTAACGATGGCTTGAGTCTCGATCGACTGAGCTTATAGAATCGACACGCGGATGATGACGACGACAAAAATACATCGAGAGAATGACAGGGACACGACGAAGTAGGCATGACATTGGGTACATAGGCGGACATGGGACAAGGGCATCATTAAACGAACAAAACCGACAAAGTTCGGGACGTTGAACACCCCGAGGATTTCGGGACCTCGGGACGGCGTTTACGGATGGGCTAATGATTTCTTGTTGTTTTCGACGGCGAACAAACCCTACGTCGTAGGGTTAGAGCACACATGAAAGTGCAAACATAGCTACGCAAAAAGAGAAAAGCATCAAGCTGGGCAAGACCACTGAACAGATTACAATACAATTTTCACCTCACCACTCGTCTCTTTATCTACGCGTTCTTTGTACATGTGCCATGGGGAAGGTAAGGCGGTGGTGTTCTACCACATGAAACGCTGCATTCGGCCGCCATCGAGAATCCGCCCATTCTCGTCCCTCCACTTGTAGGGCTTGGCGATGAAGATGTACATCGTCACCAAGTTGACCAAGATGAACCACAATGTCTCTAACACCAGCCTGACGTCGAATTTCTTGCTGAATCGAACCAGCGCACCGACGATCGGAAGACACTCGAGCTTTGTGAGGACAGGGTGGGTGACCGCGTGCTCGTGGACCTTCCACGCCGGGACGAGGAGACGCCAGAAGACCCAGGGGAGGATGAAGTACCGCGGCTCGACGAGGGGCGCCGTCATCAAGGACAGAGTGGTCGCTAACAGCAGCAGGATCGCCGTCGACGACGACGTGGGCTCCGTGCTGTTTGACGTGGGCTCGTCGAGCTTGATGAGGGCGTAGGGGTGGTACTTGGTGTCTTCACCCTCCTTCTCGCCCACGACTTCGCTTTCGAGAGCATCGGTGGAAGGCGGCTTCTCCGGACGTGGCTGCGAGCTCGCGGCGCTGAAGGGGCTGTTGTCGAATGGGCCGGGGCGGAGGTGGGTATACTGTCCCGAGCAGTCCTGCGTGGGATCTGAGAGGAAGCCGCCCTGTCCGCAGCCGCTGAGGGCGTCCCAGCACAGCCAGCGGGCGACGGTGTAAGGGACGATGAGGTAGTAGCGGAACAGGCCAGGTCGTCGGATCGTGTAGCGGAAGACGTAGAACATGTAGTGTCTGTTGTCTGCCAGGGTGAAGGGGTGGATGATTGTGTTGAATTTGACGACGAGTAAGGTCAAGGCGATGAGGAAGGGCGTGAGGGCGAGTTGGTAGAGCTTGTTCCCGACGATGGTCTGCAGGAGGGCGTATGCGGCAGAGACTCGCAGTTGCTTCTTCGTCGGTTCGTCCTTGTCGGTTCCCGTCTTGGGGTTCTTCGTCGACGCCTTTGATGTCTCGTTGGTGGCAACCGTGCCAAAGACGAAGGTGAAAAGACCATGGGCAACGCGAAGGACAGAGATGACCGAGGGGAGGAACAGCGGGAAGGAGAAGAAGGCAAACATTGGCCAAATGTAGAGCATCTGGGCGAGGTGGATCGTTGCCACATGGTTGGATTTGTCACCTGCAAGTTGTTAGATCGATAACCCAAGGGAAATTATCGTGTCATACCGAGTACGACACCGCCGTTCCACGCCACGAACCCAGCAAAGAGGCCCATGATGGTGATGTGCGGCCAGACCTTCTTCAAAACGCGGAAAGGGTTGAATATAGCGGCAACACCGATGCTGAGCACGGAGACAACGAGATCTGACTGGTTAGCGAAGGAGATGGTATTGAAATGTAGGAGGCGTACCATCTGGCCAGGCAGTATTCAGGGGAGGATCGTGAATGTCTCCCAGGGAGTACCTCCATCCGTAGTACTTGGCGCAATCCAGCAGAGTCCCGAACTCGGGCTTCCTAGCAGGGGCAGGACGGAGGGATTTGACCGCCGACACAGCTTTGAGACCGCCCATATACACGACTACCCAGAACACGTTCGTCTGTCTCATGGTCAGGGTCGCCACTCCGAGAATGATCGTAGTCAGATCGCTGAGGAACGAGCTTCGCTCCTCGCGGACGCGGCGCAGATGGTGGTAATAGGCAACCAGGACGGACAAAGTCGAGACGACGTCGGTGTAGTAGAGGCCGGAGAAGAAGAACAGGACGGGGAACAAGGCGACATTCCAGCCCGTGTGGATTGAGTAGAAAGACAGCACCACGGGCGGCGCTGGGGACTTGGCGTCGTTGCGACGGGTCTCGATGAGATGACGGCAGTGCGTGGCCAGGATGCCGAGGCCGATGATGGCGATGATGTTGACGCCTCGCAGGTCCAAGACGGAGCACTCGGGGCGCAGCATCATGGCGAGGTAGTACTTTGAAAGGACGTACCTGAGGGCGTTAGCGACGGTTGCTGGGCCTAGGCGCTGGTCTAGGAGGGCAACTTACAAGCCAGGAGGAGTCGTGATCTTGTCGTCCCATTCCGTCCACCTTCCCTGGCAGAATTTCTGAGCCTGTGGGATATGGAAGACTTCATCCTATGCAGTGTCAACGAGTGCAGTTTCATGAAGTTGAATCGCTCTGACCAACCAGGTACGGCTCCTCCACATGCGACATGACATTGCTGCACCAAGCCCATCCGACGATAAAGATGATGCTGTAGGAGACGCGCATCAAGCCATCGTAAAGCTTGTTGGTCTTGGGACCCGATGGTGTCGGGTTAGGGAGTCTCGGAGTAATCAACCACAGAAGTGTGTAGAGCACAATGATCGAGAGGAGGTTGAGCCCGTCGACGTAGGCTTCGATGGCCTTCATGATGGCTGTAAGACACCCTGAGGTGTCGTCGGTGCAGAAAGGACAGGCTGGTTGATGAAAATAATTATGAAGGCTGCATGAGAACCCAGGCGAGTAAAGGAAGCAGAAGAGAATCCGAAGTCGAAAGAAAAAGAAAACTGAGGCGAAAGCTGGTCTGCTGCCAAAGTCGGGCCTCCTGACTGTGGAAGTGAGATGAAAGTGAACAGTTCGCCAAACACTCGAATGGGGGAGGTTACGCGTCTTCACACTGTATGTGCACGGTGCATATTGAAGTTGGTAAATCAGCCACACAGGTAAGATCAGTGACATGTTTGCAGCAAAACACCTGGATATTATCACAGTATTGAGATTAAATAGTTGGTCAAGGTTCAAATCACATGTAACAGAGCAGTTGGTCCAAATCAAACAAAGTGAAGTTTAAGAGTCTATTGCATCTTTTATACACTCCTCAGAGGGAGAACTCTCCATGGTCTCATAACTCCAGCTCACAATGCTTTCCCTTTGTCTATCCAGGAAAGCATAGTTGTGAAAAGAAGTTGTTTAGAAAGGCTGGGCCAAAAGTCAGCAAGCTGTTCACGTATGCTAATAGTTGGACGGAACTTACGTTGTCAGCAGGGTGGACCTCCTTGACAAACTGGTTGCCGAGGATGGGGATCTTCTGTGCGGGTGTCAGTCAACTATCCTCCCGCAATTGTTCTAAGCAGTTGGCCTGGCTTACCTGGAGGATGTCCTTCTGTATTCTGGGAATGCCAGAGGTGTAGAACAGAGCAGCAATACCAGCAGCGGCACCGAAGCCACCAGCACGGACACCACTGAAATAGAAAGTCAGCACTTGGCTCTCCAAATACGTGGTCTTCCAGCGGCGTGTTGCTCCCGAGAACCGGAGGCCGTGTCCGGCTCCTACCTTCGGCCTTGATCTCGGGTGTCCGGCCGAACGGAAGAGGGTGTTGAGGTTTCTCGAGGGCGCCGTAGGGGCTTCCGCGAAGGTCACGGATGTTCGGGGAACACTCACAGCTTGATAACCTGGCTAACAGTCCAGCCAGCGACGTTGGGGACCGTGTTGTACCTAAATCCACCTAGTCAGTCCACTGCTCCGATTCGATGTCGTAGGTTCCAGAGGCATCGTATCGCTCGTTTATGACGCTGACGGGTCGAGAATCGAAGGAGTGACGTGCTTCGGAATCGTAGGGCTATCGAGAAACGTACTTGGGGCCGAACTTGCTGCGGTAGGTAGGGTACAGAGTACCGACACGGGGCTGCAGAGAAAGCAGTGGTCAGCAAATGGTAGGTTGCGCAGTGGCTCAAAAAGGCTCTGAGCGAAGAGAAAAGCCTCTGGGCGGACATCGGACTTACAGGAGTGACCATCTTGACTGTGTGCGTCGTGCAGACGAACTGGGATATTCAATTGCAGATGCAAGAGGGAATCGTGAAAGAATGATGATGTTGCGCGAGATTCTTAGCGGGAAAAGCCGGATTTGCATTGCGCCTCAGGCTACTGGCTGAGGGAGCTGTAGCCAATCGGCGCTGGTTTTCGGTAGGACCCACCCTGCTCGCCCTGAATCGGCTCAGCCTTGCGCTTCTCGAATGCAACGATCATTTCCTCCATAAGCACAGCTCAACCGACGTCGGCGATCGAGGAGCTCGGCACGCCAACATGGACAAAGTCATCGATGCGCGCTTCGAGCGCGTTGAGAAGGCTCTTGCCAGTCTGATCGAGTCGGTTTCGAAATATCATCCGAATGCCAAACAGGCACTGGACCTTCATGAAGCTGACAACGATCTCGCGAGAAGCCTCGATGAGGGTACAGTCTTCTCGAATGAAGCTATTCACAACTCACTGCTAACCCTCAAAATTAGTGCAAGTTCACCAGAACAACCACCTGCGGCTGCAGCAGCTTCGTGCGACAACTTCGTCCCTTGACTCCCAGATCCGAGAGACACTCCAGAGTCTCGCAACGACCCGCAAGGACATCACCACCACCCAAATCACGATGTACACCAACGGACCAAAGTACCCCGTCAAGTACGATGAGCTCCTCAACTACGCCCGCCGCATCAGTAAGACCACCATGCCTCCGGCCGCCATCACCAACGGCGTACCGACGGAAGGCAGCACGCCCGCCCCAGACCCCAACGCGAGCATGACCGCAGCCACGACCCCCGGCGCAAACGGCATGCAAAGCCAGCCCGTCAGCGCTGCTCCGACACCCAGCCAGACCCAGACACCCGATCCGTCAGGTGGCATTAACGGTGGCACCAGCTCAGGGGACCTGGCTGCGACACAGCAAACCACGACAAGCGGCGCGACATCTCTCCCCGATGGTCTTCGCAACCACCTTGACCCGCACTTCAACGCGAGCTTCATCCCGTGGCCGAACGAGTTCCAGATCCGCAGCGGTGCGATGGCGGTGTTCCAAGAACTGCAGGACCAAGGCATTGAACCGCGTGGCTACGATCCAGCGCAGATCGCCGAGGCGAAGCGGAAGGAAGAGGAGGAGCGCAAGGCGCGCGAGGAGCAGGAGAAGGCCGAGCTGGAGAGGAAGAACCGCGAGTACCAGGAGAAGATGGAGAGGATCCGCCGCGAGCAGCAGGAGGCTTACAGACGCGACAGCATGGCCGTCGGCGCTGGTGCCTCATCCGCTGGAAAGAACAAGCAGTTCCAGTTCACGAGCATCATGGACGACGATGATGATGACGAATAGACTTGCAGTTTGGACCTTACAGTGTACAACCTCCCGGCAGTAGTAAAAGCATCACAGCAGGCGTTTCGGGACATGGTGGCATCCCTTTTTCGTCTACCTTTCATCCGTCTAAAACATCTAAATGGAAGAGAGCATTTTGAAATCCCATGATCAAAAGCGCTGCATATGCGCTGCTCATCAACACCAATGCAACGCTTAGCAAGTATTCGTACAAATAAAGTAATCATACAGCAGCATGATTCGGTCGTCACATGCCAACGCCTCCACACCATGCCACTTAATCGATCTTGATGGAGGCATAAATCTTCCTGACGAACCACCAGCTAGCAAAGTAACCAATCGAGCCTGTGCGAAGTTAGCGCCGTGTCCGGACGGGTGTGCTTGTGTGGTGGGTAATCTTACCGGTCAGAATGAAGAAGAGGAAGGAAATGAGGGCGCTGTATCCGATGTATAGCACAGTTCCGGCCAGGTTACTCAGGTTCAGCTTAGTGATGAGGTACAACAGGCAGTTGGCAAAGATGTAGCCACCGCTCATACCGGCAGCGAGGAAAGAGCGCCATTGCCAGTTGTAATTTTCGGCGCACAGAAGGAAGTAGACCATGAGGATCGTGACTGCGGCAGTGGTGACGATCATGAGGCCGTAGGAAAGGAAGAGGAAGCCAAACATGTAATAAATCCGGCTGAACCAGACCGAACTCATGATGAAATACAGCTCAACGAAGATGGCACCGAACGGCAGTAGACCGACAATCAGCATGCTGGGGATCGGCCTCAGGTAGGTCGTGACCGGCGGGACCTGGCGGGGGATCTGGTTGGTTCGGACGGGGGGCTCAAGGACAGAAGCACGGAATCCCATCCACGATCCAGCAAAAGACAGAGGGACCGACAGGACGAACCAGATGGCGATAATGACGAGCATAGTGGTGAAAGGAACAGCACCTGAAGACTGCTTGGCCCACAAGAACAGATCAAGGAAGAAGAACGCGCCAAAGACGATGCTGGGGACCAAGATCGGGGTGAGCGCAATGTTCATCTTCCACTTCTCACCCTGCATCGACTTGTAAGTCCTCGAGGAGACATAGCCGCCGACGAAACCCAGAATGGTGTAGAGGAGGAGAATAATAGTACCGAGCGAGCCACGGTTAGACGGCGACAGGAAACCGAGAAGAGCGAAGCAGATCGTGAAGCCGGCCATGACGAACAACTGCACACCATTTCCGAGCAGAACGGAAAGGAGGAGAGGGTGGGATGGGTTGCGGAATACGTCCCCGTGGACCAACTTCCACCCGGAGTCTTCCTGCACGCCATCCTCGATGACCGAGGTACCCGACAGATCGTCCAGGTTGATCTGATCCAGACGGTTGTATCGAGCAATATCCTTCTTCAGGGCCCTGACCAAGATGGACATGACAGTGAGGATCAGGATAATCACGATGATAGCAGTGTCAATGAGCCAGAACCAGTGGATCTTGGGGTCAAAGACATGCAAGTACTTGTCCCAGCGAGTTGCCCAGGCTGTCTTAGACTCCTTCCAGTAGACCGAGTAAGAGAACTTGACCTCCTTCTCGCCGCTGTCCTCGTTGAAGATAATCGGCTCCATCTGGTTGTTGCAGTCCAGCAGACCAGGGTAAGCACGGGAGCTGGGCTCCACCACAACGCCGACAACACGGAGTTGGGTCTCTTCGCCGTTGACCGGGTGGTACTCAATGTTGATGTCATAATGGTTGTTGAAGATGATGTTTCCCTGCTCGTCGGCGCCTCCCATCAGAAAGCCGGGGTTGTAGAATGTCGTGTTCGTGAAGTCGTCGTAGATCTCCTGTCCCGCGGGCAAGCCGTCCACGAGCCAGTTCAAGCTGTAGCCCTGCTCGATACGGCGCCGAACAAAGCCAACAGCAGCCGGGGGATACTTCTGGATGCAGAGCGGCTTGCAAACCTCGTCGTTCTTCATGCGCAGCTCGAAGGGCGAGGTCATAATGCGGTCTCCGAAAAGGATACTGCCGAGACTTTCGGACACATATTCGGGCGCGGGGGACGGCTCGCAGAACTTGAATCCGGGGTGGTAATAGTCGTAGGATACGATCGAATGCAGTCGCGAGTCGGAGGGAGCGGCGACAGGCTTAATGCTGTTGACATACAGAGGAACGACGTCGCCCTTCTTGTAGGACGTGGGCGCAACACCTGGCAGGTAGAATGCGGACGCCAGCTGCGGGATCGCCAGCAGCGAGGCGACTAGCGCAGATGAAGGCGCCATATCTCTCAGTTGCATTATGGAGAGATACTAGAGCTCTGTTCAATATTCGCCGTCAGCCTCGGCGAATTGCGATGCGTTTGCGCTGTTCAAGAGAACAGTAGCGTGAAACATAAAAACGATGGGAATAGCTCCGTAGATCGCGATTACGTACCCTTGGATATATGTACGCGAAGCGGCTTACAGCCGGTGGATCGTCCGGGTTTGTTCAGCTCCAGGCGAGCTGCGTTGAAAAAATGACTCGAAAGAAAAAACGGAAGAGCCTGCGATCGTAAGTGTAGAAGCACAGAGCTCCCAAGGTGGACAGATGGCCAATTGCTTTTTTGTTGTGTCAGGTTTGGGAGCTTCGTCACTGCTCCCACAGGAGCTCCAGCTGCTTGCTGCCTCCTGCCTCCCCGTCTCGAACAACTGTCCCAAATGCGGCTTAGTCACCTTTGTCCGAGCTCCCTGTCGGAACATTGTCGACCCGGCCTCCCGCCCGTGGCGCAGGGGATGGAAACATTGGTGGTGGGGTCCGACAGTCGGGGATCCACACGCCCGCAGTTCCGGGTCCCGCACCTGCAGATCGGTTTTGCGGTTGCAAAAAAAAAATTCCTGGGTCGCGTCCCTGTTCACGCTGCTGCTTCAAAATTCTTCACCAGTCGCAGCCACTCTCGCCAGGTCAAAATGGCTGCACCAAGCACTCTGCCAGCTCTGCTGGACTCTTTGACACAGTCATTGACGACTTCGCTCGACGCAGCACCGAAGAATTCAATTGCACCACCTCAGAATGGCATCTCGCTCCTCGACGTCAAGAACGAGCTTCTTCTTTCCTATCTCCAAAATCTGGTTTTCCTGATCTTGCTCAAGCTTCGCAACGCCAAGAAGCAATCTAGCGACGATGAGAGCGCCGATGATACTACGCAGGCAGTTGTCAAGAAGTTGGTGGAACTGAGACTTTACCTGGAGAAGGGTGTTCGCCCTCTCGAAGACAAGTTGCGCTACCAGATTGAAAAGATCCTGCGCGCTGCGGACGATGCCGAGAGAAACGCCAAAGCCGCCGAGGCAGTGGAGGGAGGCAACGGCGACAACTCCGACTCTGCGTCCGACGACGAATCAGGCAGCGAGGAGGAGTCCGACGATGAGGAAGACCTCAAGGCTTCCGCCATGCAAGCCCGACCAGACGCCTTTGTCCGTCCCGCCGCGGCCTCTGCCGCTGTCGCAGCCGCCAAAAAGGATGGAGTCTACCGTCCGCCAAGGATCGCCCCTACAGTTATGCCTTCGGAGCGCCGCGAGAAGACCGACCGTCGCCCCCACAAGTCCGCTGTCATGGACGAGTTCATCGAGACCGAAATGTCCACCGCTCCCCTCGCAGAGCCAAGTATTGGTACAACCATTGTGTCTGGCGGTCGCAGGATGAAGACGGCGGCGGAGCGCAAGGACGAGGACGAACGCCGCGAGTACGAAGAAACCAACTTTGTCCGTCTCGCTCCCAAGAGCAAGAAGGAACAGGCCAAGGAGAACGTGAGAACCGGCCGCAGTGGTCGCATGCAGTTTGGCGGAGAGGAATGGAGAGACTTGGGAGAGGGCGTGGACCGCATCAACAGACTCACTGCACGCAAGAAGAGCGGCGGCACCCGCGATCTCCTCGACAAGAGCCGGAAGCGCGGCAGAGAGACGACAGACGGGCCGCGGGGCAGCGGCCAAAGAGCCGAGATGGGAGAGCGTTTCCAGAAGCGTGTCAAGACCCTGGAGGCGGGCAGACGCGACAGAGGCAAGCGATAGACGGACGGAAATACCCCAACAGTGCGCCGAAAGGTATTCAGCATCAAAAAGAAAGGAGTTTTTGCCGAGGTTCTTGGATTGGGCTAGACCAGTTCAGTCGACGTTTAGAGTTGCAATTGTGTTTGTGTCAATGTATGAGCTGGTTGTGTGCCCATGGGAATTCGTCCGTTGCCATGCTCAAGTGACTGGGAAGTACCATACCGGCAGCTAATCCGATCGGCCAGCCAGCGATCATCTTCCGAAATTCGCGATCCAACCTGGGTCTAGATCACCCAACCATTTCAGCGTAGCAGCCAACAGCGGGTGGCCTCGGCGGTGTCTTGGTCCTCGGACTATGCATAGCCCTGCCACATTCGACCATTCGGCCTTGATTTCGCATGTCTTCCCAAGTGATGACAGCTACCTTCGAAAGACTTTTCCACTGGGGTTTTTGAAGGCGGGCTGGATCAAACGGCGGCCCATGCCCACCCCCCCAGCAGTTCCCTGGCGTCAGGTCAAGACAGGCACAGAACGGTGGGCTGGGCCGGGCTAACCCCGTATTTCACATGCTTCCCTGTGGCGTTTCAATTGACTCCCCTAGCGTTCTTGATGACGTCAATCGTCCATAACCAGTGGGCCTGTTCGCCGGCCGTCTCACTCTGCCAGCCGCGGGGGGTTTGACTCGGACGTGACCTCAACGTTAAGGGAAGCTCACATGCCAGTGAGCTGCCCAGAGCTCCTGGAGCTTCCTAGGCTTGCCGTCTGCCACGTTCGCCTCGTTCTGTTGAGCTCCCTTAGCTTTTCTTCTTCTTTTTTTCCTCAATAGGTTTTATAGAGTTTCATACCCCCTTTCGTTGCTTTGTCTTGTCCACCTGCACTCCGCTGGACAAAGCATCGATTGCTCTGCTACTCAAACAACCACCGAACACGTCTGGGCTTGAGGCCTGTCTGCCACGATGCCGTCCGAATCTCGCGTAGAGAATCCCCTCTTCCATCCCTTCCTTTTCCTCTTCCAGGTGTTCCAATGGTTCGCGGATAAGATCTTTTCGCCCACTCCTCCCGAGCCGAGCACCCGCCTGAGCCGTCCCAAGGTGGCGGTCATTGGAGCTGGTATCACCGGTGTCACGTCTGCAGCGCATTGCATCGGCCATGGATTCGACGTCGTCATATTCGAGGCGGGCGGTCGCGAGAACTTGGGAGGCATCTGGAGTGTACGACAACCCCTGGCAGCCCAATTTGGAGTAGTACTAACGTCAGCTACAGAAAGTCAACAATTCTTCCAGCTTACAGATTCACTCCATGATGTTCCGCTTCCACCCCTCCGTGAAATGGGAGCGCGGCTACCCCGACAGACAGCAAATCCTCAGCCAAGTTAAGCAGGTTTGGGAGAAATATGGTCTGGAGACTCGCACCAAGTTCAACACCCCCGTGGACAAAGTCTACCAGGACGAAAAGGGTCGCTGGGTTGTCAACAACACCGCAAATGGTCACTTCGAGGGCGTTATCGCTGCTGTCGGCACATGCGGCGAGCCCAAAATGCCCCATATCCCCGGAATGGAGAACTTTAAAGGTCATGTGTACCACTCCAGTCAACTCACCGGGTATGAATCTCCAACCCCTAGGTACACTCTGGTGCGCTGCAGGACTAACGACTTTATAGAAAGAACGCTAAGGGCAAGAAGATGGTCGTCATTGGTGGTGGTGCCAGCGCTGTTGAGGCATTGGAGTTCGCCGTAGACGAAGAAGCCGAAAAGACTTCGATCCTGTCTCGCAGCGACAAATGGATCATTCCTCGCAATCCAATCGTGAACATGTTGCTGGCAATGAACATTCTTGGCCAAGAGACGAGATTCTCATGGATCCCCGAGACTCTGCTCCGCAAGTTGTTCTATCGCGACTTGCAAGATATCGCTCCTTACAACAAAGGCATCTACATGGACACGCCGATGGTCAACAGCCACGTCATGGAAACCATTCGCTCCGGCCATGCTGAGTGGATTCGTTGCGATATCGAGGGCTTTACCGCTGATGGTGTCATCGTCAACCGACGTGCTCAGGGTGTTCCCAAAGATGGCCCAGGAAGGAGAGAGGTGGTTCCCGCGGATATCATTGTCATGGCTACTGGTTATAAGCGTCCCTCGCTCGACTTCCTACCCGAGGACTGTTTCACCGAGCCGTATAGCCCTCCCAACTGGTACATCCAGACGTTCCCACCCAACCATCCGTCCATCTCTGCGATCAACTGGTAAGTCTGAACTTGACACATGCAAACTCACATGTAACTGACTCACTTTGCAGCACCTATGTTGCCGCTATCGGAACCGTAGGCAACTGGCATATCGGTATCTACACGAGAATTCTCCTCATGTTCCTCATCGACCCGTTGACGAGACCGCATCCATTCTGGATGAAGTCGTGGATCGAGATGACAAAGCTCCTGAAATACTTCTCGCCCACTGGCGCTTTCGACTTCTTCACCTACCTCGAGCTTCTATGGTGGTTTGCCTTCAGCGTCACCTTTAACCCCTTCCGATGGAAGTGGGCCTTCTTCGTCTTCTTCGGTTTGGGTTTCATGCTTCCCAAGCGAGTCGTCGAAGTTGAAGCACGTATCCGCAATGGCATGGGCTTCCAGGAGGAGGTTGGACGTGACACGGGCCGGAGCATCTAAAACCTCCATGTTTGGTGGCTGGCAGAAGAAATGCCACCTGGAATTTATGGTATTGATACTGGAAATGTGACGGCTCAGCTCGGTTCGGTTGGCGTGTGCATGGCTGATTTCATTTCGGCTCCGAGGCGTCCTTCGTTGGTTTCTCATCGTGTACAAAAGCGGATGTGATCTGCCAAGCTATGGAAGAATGAAAAGCAAGCATTTCATTTGAGATCTGACCTGCGATTTTGAGAATTGAGATAAGACATCAACGCCAGTCTCGTGGCTTGGCTACAAGTCAAGAGGCTAGCAAACATGAGTGTCCCATCCTCTCGGGAGGTATGATCGGCACACGCTGCTGTTTCCATCATGTTTGCATTCGTCGCGAGTCCTCTCAGGGTAGTTGCCAAGCTCAAGCCACTTTTCAGTAGTCGCCTATCCCTTACAGGAGCTGATTCATCAGCACTTTCGTATGCTCGGGTTTCACCCGGGCGCTTGATCAACAACCCCGGACCCGAGAGAGTCTAGCGCCGGTGCCCCGGTTAGGCCGGTTCAGCCCGTTCGTGGGCGCCCGATTGCCTCTTTGAGCCGGCCATCACTGAATAATACTTCCTCCTCTGGACTGGCTTCTAAACGTCCATTTCCTTGATGTACACCTACTCCACCTGCGATCTACCAAGCCCACGGTACGGCGGCTCAAGCGGCTTCCCTTGGAAGCGGGGAACGGATATCCCGCCGTGCCCGCTCATAATCCATGCGTGTTGTACGACGTTGGTGATGACTTAGGCGATGCTTTCGAACGGGTTCGGCTGTTTTCATCGGCCTTCGTCCAATTTGCGGGGTAAAATGTGAGCTTGTCGTTCGATGTTATTCAATATTCAGCCACAGCTCTCTTCGATTGGTTTTGAATACAACTTCCGTGGCTCTTCACGCTGTTCGTGAACATGCTCTTGGAGGATGGGCATTCTGAACACCTTCGTATGGCTAGTGGGGTCTTCAGGGCTGGTGATTGATCAAGACATGATCCAGAATATCAAACCCTCCATTCTTTCTTCCCAGGCAAAACTTA